GGGGGGGCCGGCGGCTGGGGGGGGCCAGGGCGGCTGCAGGGAGCACAGTGTCCCCTTACACGGCTGTTTCCATACTTAGCCGCCCCCCTCCCGGCAGCACGGCCGCCGGAGCCCGGCCAGGCAGAGAACCGGCCCAAATTAACTCAAGGGCAAGCAAGGGTACCAGCGATGCCGCCCCACTGCATGGCCCCCAAGGGACGCCCAGCTGGGGACAGGGGTGCTAAGTGGGGATAGGACAGCCCGGGGAAGGGGATTGGGGGTCACCCAAAGTGCTATCTTGCTTGGCCAGTCCTTGGGGGGGGGGAAGACCCCTAGGGCAAACAGCCTACCCCATCCTGCTCTGATTACGGGGTGCCCCAGCACCCCAGCAGCCCCCCCAAGTCCTCACAGCCCGAAACCGAGCCACCTCGGCAGCCATGGGTGACACTGACCCTGAGCACATTGGTGGCAGCACAGCCTCTGTGCCCACCCTGGCTCTGGAGGGGGGACCCCAGCCCACATCCCCCCTCCAGCCCTTCCTGTCCACAGTTCCCCACTGTGTCTCCCTGCACATTTTGGGGTGACCCTGCAGCCTTGGCAGAGCTGCCGGGGAGCCAGCATGGCTGTACCCCTGCCACCCTGTCCTGTTCCTGGCACCCACCCAGCCCTGGGGTGCAAGCTGGGCACCCCAGAGCCTCACTGGCACCTGCAGCCCCATGAGCAGCCACAGCTCTAGCAGCACCCACAGCCCCATGGGTAACTGCAGCCTTGCAAGGCACCCACAGCCCCATGGGCACCCACAGCCCCATGGGTTCCTACAAACCTGCAGGGCACCCACAGCACCACAGGCACCCGCAGTCCCAAAGGTGCCCACAGCCCCACTGGGCACCCCAGCCCATAGGCACCCCCAGCCCTATGGGTGCCCACAACCCTGCTGGGTGCCCACAGCCCCATAGGTACCTACTACCCCACAGGCACCCACAGCCCCATGGGCACCTGCAGCCCCATGGGGACCCGCAGCCTCCTTGGGGACCCATGGCCCCCACAGCCCCATGGGGACCCACGGGCACCCGCAGCCCGGCGGGCAGCCATACCTGCAGTGCCAAGGAGCAGGAGCGAGGCCACGCAGCAGCAGAGCAGGTTGAGGCCCTTCATGGTGGCTGCCAGGAGCTCCCTGCCTCTCACTGCCTCTATTTATACGGCGGCAGCGAGCGTGGGGCAGGGCAGGCAGGCTGGCAGCTGCCGGCACGGCCAGCACAGATGCTGCCGTCGCTGCTTTTCCGCTCCCAGGGGGCCCTGGGGATGGGGACAGGGACGGGGCTGAGCATGGTGACAGCGCTGCAGCACTGGGAAAGGCTCGTGTCAGGGATGTGATGGCATGGGACACCTTCTGGCGTGGGGGCCCTGGGGTGGCACTGCCCACGTGGGGTCACCGTCCCCATCATGGCATCCTGCTGGCATGGGGTAGTGGATCTCCTTGGGCTGCCCCAAGCTCCTGCAGCCCCTTTTTGGCTGGAGCAGGCTTTCATGGAGGAGGAGAGACAAGCATCAGGGCACTGCGGTGTCACCCATCTGTCCCCAAAGGCAGGTGTCCCCAGGTACCTCATCCTGGGCTGATTTGGGACCTGCTTGAGCCACCACAGGTCACCAATTCCAGGCGATGCCACTCACCCGATAGGCAAGGGGACATGTCCCCTCCACCCTGGGGGTGTCCCCATCATCGCTGGCACCACGCCGGCAGCATGCCATGGGGGATGGCAGCAGCCGGAGACACAGGGTCACCAGCTCATGTCACCCTCACTTGTAGGGGACGGCCATGCAGCGCTGTCCCCAAAGCCTGGCCGTGGCAGAGTGGCCCCTGGGCTCCATCACTGGAGGAGCCACTTTTGGAGGGCCATGACCGTGGGAGGAAGACAACAGCCCACAAGCCCCCTGCAAGTGTGGGAGCAGGGGGAGCCCCCGGCTCTGAGATGGGGGTGATGAGGAGGGGACAATGGTGGGGGAGCAGGCAGGAGCCAGCCGTCAGCTGGGCACCGCAGAGGGCCATGGTGTGGAGGGGGAGCAGGAGAGACCCATGGCCGTGGGGGGATGCTGAGAGGTAGGTGACCCATGGGAAAAGACGGGTGCCCCCCCAAAAAAAGCCATGGAGGGAGATGGGTGCCTCCACCCCAACAGAGCCAAAAGGCAAGCCAGCAGCCCCACAGAGAGCCATGAAGAGAGATGGGTGCCCCCCCCCAAGCCACGGGGACACCCCCATCCTGGAGCACCCCCAGGGCAGGGGGACACAAAGCCTGACCCCGGCCCCCCCCCCCAGCCAAGCTGCCTCACTAAAACGAGCCCCAGAGCCCCCCCCCATCTCAGCAGTGAGCTGAGCCCTGACATGCTCATAGCACGTGCGGACAGCGCTGGCAGCACTGAGCCTTTAAATATAGCCCAGCCGCTCAGCGGGAAACCTCGCCAGGGCCGGCATCCTTCTGCCTTTGCCTCCTGCCCACTCCCTGCCTGTGATTCCCGATGGAGGCAGCGCTCCCCTGCCCTCCCCGCAAGCCCCAGGTCCCCTGAGAGGGACCAGTGTCCCGCGGGAGCCGGATCCGTCCCTGTCCCCATCCCCTCCCACAAACGTTAACACTGGGACCGAGCTTCTAAAAAACCAAGTACAAACTTTATTTTGTTTCTTTACAAAGGCACGAGCCTCTTTTTTTTTTTTCCACTTTCTTAACAAAATAGAATAGCTTCTCAATCAACACAAAGACCTGAAAATCGTAAAAAAAATACAAAAAAAAAAAAGGGAAAGGAACCGAGAAACAGCTGCGGCTGGGGGGGAACCTACCAAATACCACCGAGGCTCTACACACAACTGGCCTAAAACCCTACAGCCGGGCGGGGGGCAGCAGGGGTGAGAGGGGGGGACACACACAAAATGGGGACCCCCCCGCCCGCCATGACAGACCCAAGCGACAGAATCACGAAATAGAAAAGCTCTTCGGAGCTGACGGACCCCGCGAACCGGATTAAGTGCTTAAAGGAGGGATGGGAGCAGGATGACGGGACAGGGATGGGGACGGGGATGGGGACGGGGACAGGGACAGGGGTGTAAAATCAGCCCCCAAACCGCCATCCCCGTGCCAAGGAGGTGGGCGTTGGAAATGCCGGGGGGATGGCACATGCCAGCCCTCCTGCCTGTGCTCCGGTGGCATAATCCCGGGATTTTTTTACTCTCCAAAGTTGGGTTTTCTCTGCCCCACGTGGGGTGCAGAAGCCGTGGTGGGGCTGGTTGTACCCCAAAGCTGGGGGTCCCTGTCCCGCCTTTGCTGCCGTGTCACTTGGCATCTCCCCCCTGCTTAAAAATGAACATTTAATTAAAAAAAAAAACACAAAAGAGGAAGAAAAAACAAATTAAGATCCCAACCCAAGGGAATGCCATTGGGAACACCGGGGCTGCTGCCAAGTTGGCAGGATACCCCATGGGTCAGTGGCGGGGGGGGGGGGGTTAAAAAAAGGGGGGGGGGGGGGGCCCCCACCCGCCTCAACACCCGCCGGCCC